ATGTAAAAATAAAACATATATATATATATATATATATATACAAGTTAAAAAATTGTATTAAAATGTAAAAAAATTATAATATGTAAATTTACGTATATATTATATACATAAAAAAATTATTCTAATTTATTTTATATAATATTACATAAAACAATGAATTTCTTCAAAAAAATAACTACAACACTCATTAATATACCATTGTTATTATATAAAATTTTAATTAGATAGTAATTACTTCTTAATAATTTTGTCTTTAATCAGGAAATTAGTTTCAAGAATTATTTATCAATAGATTCATTGAAATGCAAAGAGATTATTTGATCAAAGATTAAATAACGAAGGTATATCCATTTGAATACATGCAATCACATTAATCAAATGAGATTTTATCTTAATAGAATAGCGAAAAGATTTTTATTTACGCAAAGCCCAGGACTGATCAATGTATTTGATCAGATTCAATCTAACTTAATTATTTCACTAAGGCATCTCTCGAAAATCAGCCGGAATTTAGTTTGGCAGGCCCGCGTTTATCTTTCTTGATAAAAATACGTCAACGCGAAGAATCATATCGCATCTATTTTTAAACCGTCCGACATACAGGATGTCCGAATTGTAGTTGGTATGAGGTAATGTATTCCCGATTTGACTTTTCAAAAAAGGTCACTAATAAAAAAGGACAGACATAACATTTCTTGTCTTCTTCCACTTTTCCCGCTTCTAGAAGAGAAGCGAGCAGAAGCAGCGTTTTTCTCACTTTTCTCTTATCTCCGATAAAATCAAATGTTCACGCGATCCGCGATACTTTCAGAAATTTCCTCGTTCATTCGTTCATTCGGTTACGTAACTTCTTACGGACTACGCGCACCACACCCTGTACCCTGGAAAGGTGCACGATAATCGGCGCAATTTTTTTTTTATTCTATCGTTCCGACAGGACAGTATCAATAACGCACGTCAACTAGCCGCATGTGTAATCGATTATTTCGATTATTTTTGATTATTTATTTTTACGACTTTTGACTCGGTTCATTTTTTTTTGTTTTTTCCTCTTTTTGTTTTGCGTGGTCTTTCGTGCATATAAATGATTTATCTCGCGTCTCGGCCGAAATACGGCGCATATATTACGCTGTTTCTTCGAAGTGAACAATTTACTATGGTCTCGTCCAACCTTATGCGCCGGTTGCGCGCGCACAGCGATCGATATTTTCGCGAGACGTAAGAGCTGCATACAAATGTCGATTGTCCGATTGCGATCAGGGAAAATTATCGCGAGCTATATGAAATAACCGTGTATTCGGGCGAAACCCATAATGAAGTTTCGCGCGAACTGCGGCTTCGGTTGCCTCCTGTAAAGCCTTTCCCCGAGGGGACCGAAACCGGTATGGTTTCGGCGAGTCTGGGCGAGCCACGAAGATGAATTCGTTCGCGTCGAGTACGAAGCAGTTTCATGTTCTTCCCAATACTCGCTTACGTCGAAAGTCGGATGCAACCAAATTTTATATATATATATACACGTATATACACAAAACTCTATCTGTTCATGCTCTTTCCTTCGGCATTTTGTAACGAGACGGAACGACGGAATTCGATTGATAACAATTCGATGTGCTTTTTTTTTTTTACAGAAGAACCCGTGATGTTTTAAGATCGTTTTGAATGATACCTAAAATCTAAATCTTTTTTTTTCATTGCGAAAGCACGTAATGTAACGTAGCGCGATCGAGAGGATCATTATAAGCCGTGACTTTCCGAGCCAACATGTGATTCCCGCTCGTTAAATATAGAAGCCACAGTCGGGAATTGCAGACACGAGACGATAAGAACAACGCAGGGAGAGATCAGGATCGAGAATGTGCGAATCGAAACAAATGCGATAAATTAATCATGATAACAATTCGATATCGCGACTTTTACGTCGAGATAAGAGGCGGTAAAATTTTAGACCTTTCTCTTTGCGAAAAATGAAGAAGACGTATAGAATCACTGTGGGACAAAAATACGAGGGAAAAATTCGCGCTACCTAGTTTCAAAGGCACAATTATATTAACGTGTTAAAAAACTACATTTCGCTCTCAATCTTTCGCTCTTTTTTGTAATCCATTCCTACGTTCCTTAAATTGAAAAAAAAAAACGTCACTATTCGCGACTCAACAGTTTGTCGTCCACGATTTACGTCCGTTTCCACCAATGACAGTTTAACTTTTGATTCTCGATTCAATTAACTCCTCGTCTTTTTCTAACAATTAGAGAAAGATGAAAAATATAACTTTTAATTAAATTTTATTGGTGGAAACGAGACGTAAAGACATTGTAAATTTAACCAAAGTTAGACAATAGAAGAGAAAGGGGAGTAATAGAAAGAGAGAGAGAGAGGAAGAGAAAAGAGTGATGCAAGGAGAGGAAAGAAAGACAGGTCAGGAAAAGAGAGTCGCGGCCGGAAAGCCGAGCAAAAAAAACGCACTGCAGAGGCGGCAGACGCCTGCCGCCGGTGCAATGGAAATTTCCACTGGGTTAAGGGTGGGGAAGAGGTAGGCAGGAGGAGACGGAGAACGGGAGAGAGAGAGAGAGAGAGAGAGAGAGAGAGGGGGGGAACGAATGAGTGAGTGAGTGAGTGGATGAGTGAACGAGGGTGACCGTCGGGTGCGCCGGAGAGAAGAATGGCGACGGCGGCGGCCGGCTCGCGGCTCCTGCCGTGGAAACCGGACGCGGCTTGCCACGGAGAGAAACCTAGATGAGAACAGGAGAGGAACAGGAGGCGGCGCCGGGAGTGCGCGGTCTCCGCCACCCGGTGGTTACCCGGCCGGCGGCGTGGAGTCTTACCTTCGTTTTCGCGAAGGGCGGCAGGCATAGGGGCCATGGTTGCATCATCTGTCTCCTTTGGAAGCCGGGCATCCTGTCGTCGCGTAGGTACTGTCGTCAGTAGGGGGGAAGGGGGAAGAATTGACGAAAGGCCAATTGTGCGGCCTTTTCACTCTCTCGCGTCTCTCGCGCGCAAGTGACTCCGGCGGATCCGCGGCCTGTGTGTCTCTAAATGATCAGCTGCTGGGTGTCGTCGTCGTCGTCGTCGACGTCGTCGTCGTCGTCGTCGTCGTCGTCGTTGTT